CTGGGTTCTTTCCTGAGAAATGTGCATTTTAATACTGCCTTTGGAGATGAGGAGACCTGGGTGTTCTCAGCTCTCTTACCTGGAGCAAGTCACTGACTTCTTATAACTTTATAAAATAACTCTTATAACCTCTATAAAATGATGAAGGAAAACACCTGCTCTTTTTTTACATAAAGTACAGTGATGAGGGATAAAATAAAATGAGATGATTCATGTGAAAGCTTTGTTAACTGCATAATGTACTGAACAAAAGTCTGGGAGGGTTATGGTCCCTGGCATGTCTTTCCTGCCTCTCGTTAGAACATTGCATCCTATATAAATAAAGGTCATCATGTAAATAAGGCCTTAGTTTCATACTGTTCAACAGCTACGGTCGACACCCTCAGTCATTCTGCTGGACAAGGGTACCAGATAGAACCAGGCTGGGGCTGGCTGCCTCCAGACAGAGGCAGACACCTACCGCCACTTGGGGGAAATGTCTGGGGGATGTGCACTGTAAATGAGGGTCCATTGGCGCTTGGAATCCTGAGCTGCAGGGAGAGATGGAAAACAGCCAGATGCAAGCTGTCCATGCTTGCTGGTGTCCTCTCCCTGAGCACTTTCCCATGGATGGCAGTTGTTCAAGAGAACTGAAGGAGTTCCCAGAGATTCTCGGTTACTTTCATTACATTTCTCACTGCACACAAATGGTGAGACAAAGCCATCTTCTGCCTTCTGGGAGCTGTATGTAAACACTGGCTTTAAATCCCAGCGATAACTTAGTTTATTAATTCTGTATTGCCTACCCTCCCCCTACAGCCTCATTGCTGCCTTCTGGTGTGTCTATCCACAGGCAGAAATGCACACTGGGGAGGAAATGTTGGGAATAAAGGGCTTTTCCTGTGATGGAAATACCCACTTTGTCCCCTGTTCCCCTGCCTTTAGGAAATACACACTTCCTCTTCAAGGGAAGAGACCTACACTATTAGTAACAGGAGGCATTTTTCCCACTGCCATCTTTAACCTCATATTCAACTACTCACTCATTCCTTCATAAGTTTTGTACACAGTGGTTGAAGGCCAATATGTGCCAGACACTGTTCTAAGTGCTTATACTAAAGCAGTGAACAAAAGAGACAGGGTCCCTGCTTTTATGCAGCTTTTGTATGGAAAGTACACAGTCAGTAAAACAAGTACATGTGTAAGACGGCTTTATATACTGAGCAAAATAGAAGGAGTGACATGATAGAGGACGGGGATATCTGGGGAGGTCTCTGAGGAGGTGCATTTCAGCTGAAACCTGAGGACAAGATTCTGCTGCAGGGGGGTCGGGGCAGCGCATTCCTCTTTAGGGGAACACCAAGGGCAGGTCTGAAAAGCTCCCGTCTCACTTGCTCAGAAGCCAACGATTGCTTTGCTGAAATTGAGAACAGCTGAGTGTCCAGATTCCCAGGCCAGTTTTCTTCTCTCTACACCATGTCACTAGTGGGTGCCCATAGATTTAAGAACATGCAAAAGGGGGACAATGGACTTGCCTGCTGTCTCCCGCAAAGACAATAACACAGTTATATAGCTGGTCTCAAGGCCCTGCCTTTCCTCCATCACCCCTATTTCTGGCTAAGCCTCTAAAACCTTTGCTGAGATCTATGCCTACAATGCTTACTGAAGCCAAAATTATTACACAATTATTCCCCTTAACTACTACTACTATTAGAAATCTTTGCCATTTATCTTCAGACATGGACCTCAATCTGGGAACTTAAAATGGGCCTGATGTAATGTCCATTTAAGGAGGGATACCGGTGTATATGGGTTTGTTTTGCCCTGATGGGCTTTCTCAAGAATGGAGACTGGGGAAACTCTCTTTACAAACCAGTGATACATAAGAAAGAGAAGCAGGCTTCAGATAGGAAAATTATTTACTAGATGTTAAGAGCTGTCAACTGGCAATGGAACACCCCATGAGGACATTTTTATGTAAATTCTCCCAGAGCTTTACAGGGCCCCTCTCCTTTTCCCCATTTACATGCCCATCAGCCCTGGGAGTATTTGAAACACACAGCAATCATTTTTCCCCATTATACAGTATAAGGAACAGAAGAAAATACTCTGCGACTCACATCAAACAAGGTGAATGTTGCAAATATACAAGATTTCTAGGCCAACTCAACTCAAGAGGCTCTTTTGTCTCTTTGACAAGTAATGCCACAGGCCTTCCTGCCTCCTTGTTTAAAACCTGCCCCTGAGTCCATCCAAGGGGCTGACTTTGATCTTCCCCAAGTTGTGTGCTATGCCCATCTTCATTAGGATATGCTGCTCATTTCTTCTTCATGGTAAATCTTTGCATACATCATTCATTTTCTCATACTGATGACACATTTATTAAGCATGTACTAGGAGCCTACAGCATGTCAGGCTTGGGGATAGCAGCCTATTCACCATTATGGACAAGGACACAGGGCTCCAGCCCACATGAAGCTTGAAGTTTACAAAGGGATGTAGACAAATAGGCCAGAATGACATGGGGTGACAAGTACTTTGATAGAATAAAACAAGAGGTATGGGGAACACAGAGGAGAGAAAGAGGAATGCTACTGAGGTGGGGCAGGCACATGGGACAAGCATCATGATTAATTTTTCCTGCCTATGATAAAAATGCCAAGACATAAATAGTATAGTAAGAACAGGAGGGACTCCATCTTAAGGCTAAGATTCCATTTTAAAAACCAGGGAGTTAGGAGGTAAGATTCCTAACATATTTTATGGTAATCAACCAATAATCGACCCTATGTTAAGGCAGGGTAAGCAGTTCTAAATGATATGTCCCCACTGCTTGAGGGTAACCACTATCTTGGAGAAGAACAGGATCAACAAATTTCTTGTGTTAAGTTTATCTTACAGGATATCTAGAGGACTGACTGTGGATAGTGACATAATGTCTCTTACCGGAGATACACATCATGAGACACCACGTCAAGCCTATGCCCCTCTAGCCCGTTACCCCATTCTTGAAAACCTTAAAAGACAGAATCCTAAGCCCTTAAGCACACCTCCTCTCTAAGGCTGCCTGCACTCCCCTTTCTTCAAGTGTGTACTTTGCCTTCTCACTGCTCAACTTACTGTGTTTGGTCTCTGTGCTCGTCCAGTGGTAAGCATCTTTGTAACTTTGCTATTTCATTCCATTTTCTAGAATTTAAGCAGAAGTCTTCACTTGCTGTCCTACTTCAGAAAAGTAGAGAAGGGATACTGAGGTCTCTGATTTGGGCTTCAGGTTTCTGTCACCTGGGTGACTTGGACAGGATGGCAGCTGTAAGATCATGCTCTTTAGTAGCCTCCCCAAAAATCTTTCTTTGTTTTGGGAAATTCTCAAAATATAAACTTACTCCATCCAGTGCTCTATGGCTCCTCCAAATCCTGGGGTGGTAGGTAGGGGTTTAGTTCCCATGCTGGGCAGATTCCAGTGGACACGGATGCCAGGTGACCCTGGCTTCAGGAATTGGGAAGAGATCTGCCCTGTGCCGAGCAGGAGTTTAATCAACTTTCCTTTCCTCCCTCTGCTCTTCCTGGCTCTGTACTGCCTGCATAGTTGCAGCCATGCACTACTACTCTTGCTTTAATGAGTTCCTTCCTTGCCTACACTCATCAGACCTGTTTGAGGATTTTTTCCCAGAGTCAGGAACCCTCCACCATCCAGGTCGAGGTTTCACCTAGAGCAGAGCGAGCTACCTCCACAGACGCAGCTGCCTGACAACAGTACTATTCTAAGGAAGGGCAGAAAAATTTCCCCTTTCCTGCTGGTGTCATCTTCTGGGTATGCCCATTGCCTGTCTTCTTTCTTCTGGCTCTGTCTGGCAAATCTCTGTTCTGCATCATTTTTGCCAAACAAAGCTTCACTCCTGGCCTCCTCTGGCCACCCCTGCAACAAATGGCCAATGGTTTCCTGTTTACAGGAATGGAGGCCTACTGTCTCAGTGGGACAAGGATTTGTTGTTTCCCTTTTATTTTTAATATGTTGCTTGATGTCCCTCAATTTGAAGATGCTTCTGTGATGTTGCAGAGATAATATTTGCCTGCTGATCTCAGCCAGAAGGTTGTCACAGAAGCAGCATTCCTCAGGATGCGAAGTGTCTGTTTCCATAACTTCCCAGGAGTTATGATGTCCTTGTGTTATATAGGCACCTTGTGACATATCCAGATTAAGGGCTTAGAAGAAGAGTTTTGTGGCAGTGGAGAAAATTCTGTCTTAAGATAACAACCATATATGGGAATAAAACCAGCTCCTGAGGCTTCAGTAGACTTGAGCTCTAACCCAATGATACAGCATAGAAATAACAATATTAAATCAACTATTCAAATGAGGAGATGTGCATCACTTCCAAGTCCAGTAAGTGTGACCTTCAGCACTTACTTATTACACATTGGCTGACTATACTGAGTAGAAAAAATGCATTCATAAAGTCTATTAGATACTTCTGGGGAAGGGGTGAGATTTTTCAAGATGAACTGTGTATATTTCTGTGCCAATGACCACAGATCTCACTGTGTGATTCTTACCCAGCCCACATCAAATGCTCTGTTCTGTTCTAGGGACCCTCTTCCTTTAACAGAATTGTTACTTTGCTAGGGCACCCATTGGATTGAGACTGTGAATTTATAAGGTTTTGGTGTTATTTCTTCCTCCACACAGACATCAGAGGCAAACACCCTCTCCATCTCTGACTCAGGCCTTATCCGATAAGCAAGCACCATAGAGCTGGGTGAACAGCAATGTCAGACAAGGACCTGAGTCATCTTAGATAAGGGCCTCAGTGGGGCAGAGTTCTGGGCCCCATGCTTTTCTTCCATAGTTGTGCTGACAGTGTCCTCAGAGCATCCTTGGCCTCAAAACTCCCCCACTGGTCTCTCAATTCCAGAGCTTGGAATTGTTTATTTTATATATAACCAATCCTGGGTTTTTTTTTTCGTATTACCCAAATAATATATGTTCCTTGTCGAATAGAAAATAAAAGTCAAAAGTATGAAGTTAATCCAGAAATCCAACCTCCTTAGACTGTTAACATCTTGTTGATTTTTCTGGACTCTTCAGTATGCACTCTACATACATTGCATGTGTGCATGTGTGCACACATTTTAAATGTCTGCTGTACATGTTTGAGAATTTATTTTTTCTCTTAGTTCCTTATTATAGACTTTTTAATATTATCACATGTTCTTCTATATCATTATAATGGATGCATAATTTATTATATAGAGAGTTTTGATTAAACCTCTCCATGTGGGTTATTTAGAGTTTCCAGTTTTTCACAAATTTAAAAACAAAAAGACCATTTCTCACAGTAAAATTTTTGCAAGGAACTTCTCAATGTTTATCTTTAGAAGCATTTCTCTGGGTCAAGGCCAACTAGGGTGTCTTAGTCCAGCTGGGCCACTCTAACAAGTACAATAGTCTGGGTGGCTTATAAACAACAGAAATTTATTCCTCGCAGTCCTGGTGGCCAGTCTGAGGTTGGTGTGCCGGCCTGGCTGGGCTCTGGTGAGCCTTCTGTGAGGTGCAGGCTGCCGGCTGTCACTGCCTCCTCACGTGGCAGAGAGCAGGAAGCGCTCTCGTGGCTCTTCTAAGGGCGCCGACCCCATTCATGAGGCTCTGTCCCCACGACCTCAGCTACTTACCTTCCAGAGGCCTCACCTTCTAACATCACATTGTGCGGTAGGGTTTCAACATATGAATTTTGGTGGGACACAAACATTCCATCCATAATACTAGGTAACCTATGACAGGAGACAGATTCATAGAATCACAGATTCTTTTCAAGAGGAAAGTTAGTGATTCTGTTAGCTGAAATATGAATAATATTAATAAAACCTAATTCATCTCTTTTTTCTTTTTGTCTACCCTGACAATCTATTAATGCTTGAGCAGCTCCAGGGATGGGTGCTCACTATGTTTATATAGTTCCTTATAATCCACAAGGGTTTCATACACATTACCTTATTTTAGCCCCAGAAGAACCTGTGGAGTAGAATTGATATTTTTATGACCGTGTTTTTTATAGATGGGAAGGCTGAACTCAGAGAGGATAAATGACTCCTCTAATTTATGCTTCTGGGACATGGTGGAGTCTTGGCCTCTCAATTAAGATGTGTGGGTTTATGTGTTGGGGTGGGAGTAGAGGTCTTTTCTCAAAGCATCTTGCACTAATTCTCACTCCCTGTTCTAACTTTTCACTTCTGTCTAGATGGAGCAAATCTATTCTTCTGTTCACCACAAGTCCTCCCTGACTGTCGTTGAGGAAGTACGGTAAGTCTTGAGCTGGGGCAGGGGGTGTAGGAATGGAGGCCGTGGGCCTAGCGCCCGAGGAAGCGGCCCTGGGTGGGGAGCCTGGCCGGTGCCTGAGTGGGACGTGGTGTTGTGCTCCCAGGGAGGGAGAAGTGGCAGTGAGGCTGAAGGGCCTCCCAGGGGATACCTGGCTCTGCCAATGGCCTCGTTGGCTGGTGCCATACTTGCTTCTAACTTTGGGCCAGACACAGATCACCGCAATCAAACAGGCTCCCATTTCATCGTACTGTATTCTTACCATTTGAGCATCATCAGCACAACAAAGATTGCTATGGAGAGAAGTCAGTTGAGATGTGTTTGTTGCCCTTTTATTTTTAATATGTTGCTTGATGTCCCTCGATTTGAAGATGCTTCTGTGATGTCGCAGAGATAACATTTTCCTGCTGATCTCAGCCCGAAGGCTATCACAGAAGCAGCTTTCCTCAGGACGCGAAGCGTTTGCTCCTAGGAGCACGCTGTGTGGAGGGCAAAGCGGCGAGCGGCCAGGTTCCCGGGAAACGCAAGGCTGCGTGCTGGGCAGACGCCCTCTTGTGGAAGGCAGCTCATTGTCTAATCTGCCTGGCAGCAGGCTTGCTTGTGCAGCTCTTTAAAGCAATGGTTTTTTTCTTGCTGTGAATTCGAGTTTGAGGGTTTTCTTAGAAGATTCTAAATACAATTTCTGGCTGCTTTTAATACCTACCAAGATTTGGTCATCTTAAATCAATGAGCAATTCAAAAGTCTGCATTAATTGTTTTGAGAGAGCCAGATTAACTGTAAATTATCTCGCAAATTGGCATGTTGGGTAATTATTTTCATATTTTGGTGCAAAGCCTTACCAAACAGTGTTGCAGTTAGAGTATTTAAAAACTACCTTTCCCACCTGGGTAGGATTTAAGCAAAGCCCAGGCAGTTTGGGGCTATTTTTGGTCCTGCTCAATTATTTGGCCAATATAATTCTAAATTCAGCAGCTTATTTGGAGGAGACTTGATAGCTGGGCTCTCAGGACAGCCTCGGGTCAAAGCTGACATCTTTAGAACAAAATGGTGCTCTCCCCACCTCCAGAGAGCGGGCACGGGTAGCACTTTGTGACACTGGTGTCAGCTTTGCCAACCTGGAGCTAGTGAGGGGAGGAGAAATCGTTGATTCAGGGGCCTGCAGACATGGCTGATCTCACTGCAGTGAAAATAGGTCACTAATGACATCTGGCGATAAGCCAAAAAACCGTGGCCAAGAGCTCTGAACCATTTGCTGGTAGCAGGATCCATTTTATTAGAACTCCAGAAAGCAACCTGCTTGCGTTTGTTGATAACCACCACAGGGTTACAGAACTCACATGCCCAAATGGTGAACTGGCTCCCCCTTGCCTTTATTTTCCTAAGCATTCAAGTTGCTTATCATTTCAGCTTATCCCATTTCCATTCCCACGCCCTGAAGTAATGCCTGGGTCCCTGCTTCCTTTTTGAACAGTCAAGCTGATATGATTCTCTCTCTCTCTCTCCTCACTGAAGCAGCGAGGGGCAGAACGGAGACAAGGCTAACATTACCTTCTCTGATTTCTTATATGTTCACACTGGAATAGCTCTGGCCAGATACTATTCCCCACCACCCTGATCCTCATGAAGCCATCCATCTCTGCGATTCTAGGGAGAAACTTCTGCTATTGCCATTAGTGACAAAAGAGCATTGTACCTCATTTTGGACAGTATCTCCCTGGGTTGGTGTTTCCTGTTACTCGAAGTAGTTCCCTGAGAAGGGGAATTGTGAATGGAAGACTAAGGATGGCTGATAAGTCTTCCACACGTGCTGGGAGTGATTCAGTGTAGAGCTCAGATCAGAAATTCCCAAATGAAAATAAATTTCATCATCTTTTGCAGGGCCTGGAAAAACCCAGATTGCTGGGCTCCTGAGCTCTGGCTTAGTACATCTTGAAGAGAGGCCCGATACTGTGCATTTCTAAGCAATTCCCAGGTGACCACATCTCAAGAAGCCCGGGCTTAGGCAAGTCAACAGCGGCCTCAAACACTGCCCCACATAGGTGATTTCCATGGCCTAGAGCTTCTTCCACTCAACCGTGAGCAGTTTAAGGGTAAGGACCATGTCTCTCATTCATCTTTGAGTTTCCAGACTCCAGCACAGTGTCTGACACAGAGAAAGTACTCAGATCATTGTTGAATTAATTAATGACTGAATCCTATCAGCTGATCTTAAAACAGAAGGTTTCCTTAAAGCCTAGATTAACCTTAAATGGGATATTGCAAACATTGAATGTAAATGATTAAGTCACCAAAATTAATATTAAGGCCACAACAGAGTAAGGAAAAACTGGACAATGTTTTTTCCAGGACTGCCCAGGTTGAACAAGAAGAGCTAGGTTTTAGGAAGAGGCTGGGCAGAGGAAACCTGGGTCCATCACTTTTGACAAGGTGTTTAACCCATAACTTGCAGTAAGGGACAGAAACTTTTCACAAATACCAAGCAGGTGACCTGGCAGCTCCCCTCTGGAGCTACCCTCCTCCTATACACTGAATCTCATGGAAGGTAGGAAATGGTTCTTACATCAGAGAAGGGTTTTCGGCATGGTTTGGATTCTTAGGGACTATTGCACGTGCTGGGAACAGGTGTGTAATCCCTGAAGATCAGCTCCCAGAACTCCTCAAATCTGTGTGTCTGTCCATTTAGATGGGAACAAAGGGGAAAATGGAGTTTGAGACTGGTTTGGTCAGAACCTTCCATCCCCCCAAGACCTTACTCTAGCTGCCCCAGCTTGTCCTCTCCTCATGTCCTACCTCGCATTTTGCACTCTATCTAAACACCATTGTGATGGAAGTTTTCTAGCAGAGAGCAAAGTGCCCTTCTGCTTCTACCCTCCAATAAGCCCAAATCTGGATGACATGGGCTGCTCACGTGGGACTGCATTTAGCAGCCACCTCTTTCAGGAAGTTTCATTTGGTGTATTTCCTCTGTGTTCTCATAGTACCCTGTGAATACCTCGATTACTCATTCTCTTATTCACTCAACAATTATCTACTGAGTTCCTGTCATGTGCTAGTCATTGAAGATACAAAGATGGATATGACATGGCTCTTGTCCCTAACTAGCTCATTACCTAGTGAAGGCGTACAGATATGTAAACAAGTAGCTGTAATACAAAGCGCAAAGTCCTAAGATATCAGTAAGCCCTGGGTGCTATGTTAGTGCATAGAAAGAACACCTAACCCCGATATGAAGTGTCAGGAGGTGGTAGGGGTAGTTTCTAGAGTAAATATATCCTACTCAGGATCTAAAGGATTGAAAAGCATTTAGCCAGGCAAAGAGGTGGGAGAAAAGAACATTAGGGAGAGGAAACGGATTTACAAAGGTCATTATCTGGTTATATGATTGGCTGTATTTCATAGATTTTGGGGGCTGAGGGTATGTTTTATTCATTGTCTAGCTGTCTACCCCCAATTCAAAGCACAGTACCTGGTACACAGTAGACATCCAAGGAAATGTTTATTGAATAAATGAATGAATAAGTGATTTAAAAATAGACACATAGATCAATGAAACAGAATAGAGTGTAGAAATAAACCCATTTTCATGTGGTCAATTAATCTATGACAAAGAGCCAAGAATATACAATGGGGAAAGGATAATCTCTTCAATAAATGGTGCTGGGAAAACTGGACAGCTACATGCAAAAGAATGAAACTAGACTACTACTGTCTTACATCATACACAAAAATAAACTTCCAATGGATTAAAAATCTAAATGTAAGAACTGAAACTAAAAGAAAACATAAGCAGTAAACTCTTGAACATTGAGAATAACAATTTTTTCTTCAGGTTTTGTCTCCATAGACAAGGGAGAGAAGGGAAAAAATAAACAGGTGGGACTACAACAAACTAAAAAGCTTCTGCACAGCAAAAGAAACCATCAGCAAAATGAAAAAGGCAACTACTGAATGGGAGAATACATTTGTAAATGATATATCTGACAAGGGATTGATAGCCAAAATACATAAAGAACTCATATAACTCAACATCAAAACAAAATCTGATAAAAAAATAGGCATTTTTCCAAAGATGACCTACAAATGGCCCACAGGCACATGAAGAGATGCTCATCAACATTAATCAGGGAAACGCAAATCAAAATCACAATGAGATATCACCTAACATCAGTCACAATGGCTAGTATCAAAAAGATAAGAAATGTAAGTTCTGGTGAGACTATGGAGGAAAGGGAACCCTCATGCACTGTTACTGGTAATGTGAAATGGTGCAGCCACTATGGAAAAGAGTATGGAGGTTTCTCAAAAATTAAGAGAAATACCATACAACCTAGTAATTCCTCTCCTGGGTATTTATCCAAAGAAATCCAAAACACTAATTTGAAAAGATATATGCATCCTATGTTCATTGCAGCATTATTTATGATAGCTAAGATAAGGAAGCAACCTAAGTGCCTACTGACACATGAATGGATAAAGAAGATGTGGTATACATATACAACGTTACTCAGCCAAAAAAGGAATGAAATCTTGCTATTTTCAACAACACAGATGGACCTAAAGAGTATTATGCTAAGTGAACTAAGATAGACTAAGACAAATACCACATAATATTCCTTACATGTGGAATCTAGAAAACTAAAACAAATGAACCAACAAACCAAAAACCCAGACAACAGACTTATGAATACACAACAAACTGGTGGTTGCCACGGTGGGGTGGAGGGATGGGTGAAATAGGTGAAGGGAGTAAAGAGGTACAAGCTTCCGGTTATGAAATAAATGAGTCACAGGAATGAGAAGTGTAGCCTAGACAATATAGTCAATAATGTAGTGACAGATGGTAACTACATTTATCATGTTGAGTATTTCATAATGTATACAATTATTGAATCACTGAAATTATTGTTGCACACCTGAAATTAATACTGTAAATCAACTATACTACAATGAAAAAAATGACTTAACCTCTGCTGAGATGGCTGCTGAATAACCACAAAGATGACAATTCTTAGGAAGTGAACATTTCCTGGCTCAATGGCTTTCTATCCTAGTTCCTGTACACTTTCTGGGTACTTACCAATGGGTTAGCAGACATTAAACTTGCAGGGGCTCTATGTACAGGTGTACTTCATGTCCTGGGCATAATTGTCATGGTTTCCACAAGGCAACAGAATGTTCTGAACAAATGCTTTGAAAACAAATGTGCAATTTCTGAAAAGAAGATTAATGCAAACAAGGTTAGAACTGATGTGCATTTGAACACTGCTTGAAATCTAGAGAGATCAAAATGCACTTTCAAGAGACAGGCCTCTTTATTTTTTCAAAATTGGACAAACACTGCTTTTTCCTGGTGTTGCCATTGCCAGTTACCTTTCAAGGCATGTGTTTGCCTTTAATGGAACAGTGAGGTGTGTCCACAGGCCCACTCACTGGCTCACTTATTGTCATCGAGCTCTGAATTTCTGAATAACCTTGGGAGAATGGGAAATGATTAAGTCAAAGCAAAAAAGGTGATTTACATTTTCTGAATGAATGATAGTGATTGGAGTGCTAACTCCCAAGAAATTTGCAGAGGAGTTCTTAAAGGAAGCAGAGAGCATCTGTGTGCTCA